TATATATATATATATATATATATAATTCTTTCTGGTTGTGTACTCTAGAGTATGCCCTTGTACCCGCCCTTCTGGACCCATTTGCTATTTTCAATTTTTAAACAACTTTGGAAAATGATTGAATTAGACCAGAAGTCAAATAGTTACTTAACATATTAAGTCATCTTATTTTAGGCAAATTTGACGTTGTGTTTGTTAGTAACTGAATGAGCCTAATATGTCTTACAACATATTCAATCAACTATACAAAACTGTTTAGTAGTGGTTTAATTATATTAAAATTGACCTATTCAGTAAGTTTTTAAGGATAAATTTATGCAGAAAACCATTTTTTTTAAACATATCCCTCCCAACTAAAAACATATTTCTTCCATCTATGTAAAATCCCTATCAAAGAAAAACATTCCTAACCTATACAGACAACTTTACTCATAAAAGGTTCGATGAAAAACCAACCAAAGAACCCTTCGATCAGTAAAACAATAACTCTTATCACGCAATACGTAAGTACTTAAAATATCATTTAAATAACTACTAATCGAATTATGTGCGATTGTTATTGGTTATTTAATACTTTGTATAAATTGTTTGAAAATATCAACTTTTTAATTAAGTTGATGGGAGGGCATAAAGGCTTAACAGAAAGTTGTTATTAAGACATTCTTTTAGCAATAAGATCAGTTACAGCTTTCAAGCAATGTTTTTAGGTTGGCAAAAGGATGTGAAGACATTAATTAAGTGCGATTAACAGAATTCCCTTTCCAACAAAGTAAAGTGAAACAGGATAAAAGAAGGGAATATTGGAATGTGATGAGTTGCAGACTTTTTTTAAGAATTATAGAAAATAACTTTTAATATTATTTTGATTAGATATTCAAACAAGAATCAAATATTTTTCTATAATAATTGCTCATGGCTGATGGTTTCAACAAAATCTCTAAAACACGTTTCATCGATTATTTTATTTACTAAAGCGTTTTTGTACTAACGGTATTATAGTTTTTGGTCTTCTAGAAAGTTAGGGGTTTAAACCTCACTAAACATAAGAAAAGTGTATGAGTTTATTTGTTATATGTGTCGTATATAAATATTATATACTTCAAATATAATATTATTAAAATATTAAATATTTTTTATAAAATATTCTTTTTTTATAAGGATTTTTGTTGGAAAAATAAAATAAAAAATAATTTATGTTTTGTATAATTCTTTAAATTTAAAGAATTTCACCATCTCTTTCTCTTCTAGGCATGGGAATGACCCCCGATCCGTCAAGGAAACCCGGTTCACCCGTCCCGGTTGGACGAGGATTCCCCGCTAAATCGGGGACAGAGATCCCCGTTTGTCTCAAACCGGGGATGAGGATGGGTATCGTACTCGTTATATATATTAATTAATATATATTATATATATATATATATATACACACACATATGTATGTACATATATATTATTTATTTCACATGTAATTCATAATTTCCTATTTATTAACTAGGTTTATAATCTAAAATTATTATTTTTTGGAAGTCAAAATACAATTATTCGATATGGTTTTATATTATTTTTGGTACATGTGACTTCAGGGTTTTTGGGGTTAAATTGATTTTTTGTTTTGTTTTAGGTTATTAATTCTTATATGATGTTGTGGTCTTTTTATATTAAATTAAATTCTTTTTGGTTTTAGGTTTATTGAAAATGTTTGAGATTTAAACATGTTTGTACTCTCACATATTTAATTTACAATAACTTACATAAACGGGAAGAAAAAATATCTCTATTTCCCGATTGGGGATCCCCCTTCCCAGTTGGGGATGGAGATGTGATTATATTCCCCAGTGGGGATAGAGATAAGTAATTAGGGACATGGATTGAAGTCCCTGCCTAATTCTCATACTTTCTTGGTTTTGGAGAAAATTTTAAGAAATCTGTTGGAGATGCTCTAGTCTTTTTCTAATTTGGATAAAGATCACCTATCTCATTATTGAAACAAGATAGAAACAAACCCTAATCGTGTTCTTATGAATTTACAAACATTATTGATGGCGAAAGAATTCATTTAATCAATTCGTTTCGGTTTGATGGTCTGGTTCACAAGTACGTTCCCCATTTTGTATTTGACGGTGTTGAATATATATTGAATTAAACTTTTTATTTCTTGATCTTGAATTAAATAATTACAATTGTTTCTCTCTCTTATATAACACGTGTTCTAAATCACGCGTCTTGGTGTATATTGTTTTTATTTCGTCTCTAAAAATTGTTTCAATTGTGTTTTAGAAAAAGTGTCTTTAAACCTTGACCTACGGAAACTAAGGGGTCGTTTACCAAATACTTACCCGGTAAGTGCTTATTGGTAAAATTTAACATTATCATTTATTTATTGCGTAAGATTTTAGTCCACAAAAACGGTATCGTATGTAACAATTTACCTGGTAAGCGTTTACCGTAGTAAGAGTCGTCGTTCCGGGTAAGACTCTTGATTCTTGTCTCGTTCTTACCGAGAAAAATTCTTGATCCTTACTATTTTCATCCGGTAAGGTAATGTGACTTGGTGCTCACTTACCCGAATAAACATTTGGTAAACGACTCCTAAGTAATATATGAGAAAGAAATGATAACATGATAATACCTGTTAATCTTTGAATCTTGATTATTAAAAAAACATGTGGGTTTTAAGTGATCAGTCGTATATTAAAATTAGATAATCACCATACACTTAGTCATGTTTATATGTTTATAAACTGTATTAAAGTGAATGTTTTTTTTACTAATCTGGATATTCAATCCGTTATGCGAGTTTGACTAATCCCAGGGTAACTACTTGCTTTATGGGTAGCCGGAGTCACTGCATTTGAACTTCTGTGGCTACAATGAGATTTTTATTTCTCCTTGGATTTGAACTTAATACCCCAGACAGTTTTGATCTTTAGAGTCTAAACTCAAACTAATCAGGGACCACCCTTGTGGTTCAAAATGAATGTTTTGATTTCTATACTGAGAATCTATTTTTTTAAGTAATATTTTATGAAATATATTGTATTTTTTTTACAACCAAGAGCGAATTTTATGTGTTTATACAATTAAATAATTATTTTATGAAAAAAATAATATATTATAATCTTAAATAATATTGAGTTGGATCAACATGGTAACCGGTTAATGTTTCAATCGGTTACCCAGATACTTAAATGTTTAAAACTTTATATATTAGATACCAAAATGGATGTTTTGAAAGTACGTCACTTAAAATAAGAATCAAGTTAAAGTATGTCACTTAAAATAAGAATCAAGTTAAAGTATGTCACTTAAAATAAGAATCAAGTTAAAGTACGTTACTTTTTCATGCAACTTGCCTTGTGTAAAACCTGAATGTTTCGAAATTTGAAGATTCGAAACCTGACGTTTAGTGAGTTGGGTTTGGATTTTTGGTCACTCCACGTGTCCGAAAACCTGAAATATATATATATATATATATATATATA